AATAGTAGTGTCCTAGGTTGGAATAACACGGACTACCACTTATATTTTGTTAATCATAAGCAAACTATTATCGAGGGTAGGATAATCATTTTTTCAAATGTTAGGGTGTCCCGGATTACCAATTATATTTTGTATACCCATACAAAACTACTACCGGAGGTTGGATAATCGTTTCCCCAAATTTTAGAGGTGTCCCGGGACACCCCTAGAGGCCCATGTATCCGCCTCTGACTAAACCTAATAATTGTTGTTGTTTGTTTTCAGATTTTTGGAAAGAAATTAAAAAGAGAGGATACGCGAGGGACAATCTAGTCATTTCTCATTCCATTAAATGTTCAACTAACAGAATTTTTAACAGAAGGGCACATTTGTTACATCTTTATAGTAGAAGGGTATAAAAGTGCAAAAAAATAGTAAAGGAGTATAATTGTTAACTCGTAATAGTACAGGGGTACAAAATGCTATAAACCCTTAATTTATCTATAGTCTATACCATAGTTAATTAGTTATGCCTTAGGTGTTTAAACTTTAAATACCAAACATGTCAATCTTTCATTCTTGGACCTCCTGTGAGTAAATGTATGCGTGGTGTTGTTTTTTATGTAAAAAAAAAAGTACACCACTGAAAAAATAATTTCGTCATTAAAAAATATCATTTTATGCCACTTGATATTCCCATTCATTTCTTAGGTGGTAAATACAATTTAATAGCCATACCTTTTATTTTAAACAAAATAATAGCCAAATCTTTTTGAAAACAATTTAATAGCCAAACTGTTAACTTTCCGTCCGGTCAAACGTTAGTTGACTCTGACGTGGCAAGAGTTGAATTAGTTTTTTATGACGTGGGAATTTGTTAGTTTTAAGTTTTAACCAATCACTTACAATTTTTACAAGAGAAAGTTAGAAATTAAAAGATAATTATTCACAACCACACAAATTTGGGTTAATTGCATGGTTGGTCACTGAGATTACAAAAAACGTTCAAGTTTGGTCACTCGAAATATTTAAATCCATTAGTGGTACTTCAGTTTACTGAAACCGTTCATGTTTGGTCACTCTCCATCCAATTCCGTTAACTTTGGCTGATGTGGCAGTCAACTCTCAAAGTTAACCGTTAACTTAGTGACGTGGCACTTAAAGAAATAATAAATAAAATAAAATTTAATCTATTTTAATTTCCAACTCATTTTTACCATAAAATAAATAAAAAATAAAAAAAATTATTTTTTATTTTATTTCATATTTTCCACCATTGTCACTCCCGCCTTCCCCGATGACAATGCCACTCCGCCGCCTTCCACCGACGACGAGGATGGCAACGCTGCCGGCGACGATGAGCCTTTCTTCGACTTGGAGTTTGCGGTTGGGGAAGTGGGAGACGACGACAACAAGGAAGAGGGGCAGAGGAAGGGGGATTCCTCCGCCGATTCTGATTTTGAGGGCGGTGGTGGCGACGGAGAAGAGGGAGAGTTCGATTTTACGTTGCTGTCGGCTTCCAGCTGCAACGACCGTACGGACCTCACCAACCAGCTGGCACTTTCCCCTTCCAACGAGATGTTCTTCAAGGGAACGTTGGTGACGATGATGGAATCTTCCGCCGCCATGAACCCTAAATCTCAGAGGATCCCCGTCTCCCTGCTCAAATCCGCCACCAAATTTAGGGTTTTCTTGTTGGGATTCAAGAAATCCAACAAGGTAAAAAGTCCTGGTGAACAGAAAACCGTTGATTCCGTCGGAGATGGGGATACGGCAACGGCGTCGGAGAATGTCAATTTGTTGTCCGACAATGTCAATTTGAGCAACATGCATTAATGGACCAGCTTGCTTCTTTAATTTGGACCAGCTTGCAATTTCCTTCAACAGGATACAGCAGCGGCGCCGGAGAAGAAAGAGGAAGAAGGAAAGGGAAATGAAAATGGGAAACAGGGGAAACTTTTCACAGTGAAGTTCAAAGTTGAGAAGGTTTCGATTGTGTCTCTAAGTTATTTATTTTATTTTATTTATTTTATTTATTTTATGGTAAAATGAGTTGGACATTAAAATAAATTTTATTTTATTTATTATTTTTTTAATTGCCACGTCACTAAGTTAACGGTCAATTTTGAAAGTTGACTGCCACATCAGCCAAAGTTAACGGAGTTGGACGGAGAGTGACCAAACGTTAACGGTTTCAGTAAAGTGAAGTACCACTAACGAATTTAAATATTTTGAGTGACCAAACTTGAACGTTTTTTATAATCTCAGTGACCAACCATACAATTAACCCACACTAATTTTTATCCATTCACCTCGCTCTATTTCATCGGAAGAAATCATAAGGTGCAGAGGAGAATTGATCCATTGCAATTTGCAAGAGACTGAGATGGTAAAAACCCCCAAACCCACATCTCCCCCGTCTCCTTCCTCTCTGCCGTCTATCCTTTTAAGTTTCACCACTGGAATTGTGACGGAAGAAGAAACAATTTGAAAACCCAGAAGAAGAAAAGATATCTTCGCCTACGGCTCTGTGAAGTGGTGGAATATCTTTGCCCCGGATCGGTATTGCGGAATCAACCGATTCGTCGCTGTGTTCGCCGTCCCGCTCCTCTCCTTCCACTTCATCTCCACCAACGACCCATTCGCGGTTCGCCATGAACTTCCACTTCATCGCCGCCGAAACCCCCCAGAAGATCATCATCCTCGTCGCCCTGTGCTTGTGGTCCAACCTCACAAGCCGGATTAATTGGAATGGATGGAATCGGCCTGTACGTGGAATCTTTCGGAAAGGAAATTTTGTTTTTGGGTTTGCTCGAAGTGAGAAGGGACGTTGCGATGCAAAGGACGATTGATGAAGCGGAGAGCTAGTCGCGATAACTAGCCGAGACGATACAGATCTGTGGGCTGCAACTTGAAGGGATTCGGGATTTGGGCAGATTCAAGTGTCTTCTTCCCTTTTCCCTTTGGTTGTTTGCTCGGTTCGTAGATCTGCATTTGCAGCGACAGGAGTGAGCTGTCGCAGTCCTTTATTGGTCGTCAGATTCAAGTGTTCAGCAGCAGGCTTCTAGCCGGTAGACAGAGTCCTGAAGTGGTAGGAGGAAGGGAGGGCGCCTAGCATCTTGCCTTTGTACATGCCGAAGTATATCACTCTGTTTCTTGCCGCCGGGAGGGATGCTGTGTCGGAGGTTTGGGTGGCGGCTTGAAGGAGCAAGTGTAGGCAGGGAGAGCCGGGGAGTGAGCGATGTTGAACACTTGAACAAGAGATTGTGAATGGGAAGGTGGAATAGGTTCCATTGCTAGGTCGATGGGGAGGAAAGGGAAAAAGATACAAGATACTATCTTATTTTTTATTTTTTTCATAAGAATATAAAAATTAATTACAATTTATAATTATCTACGTGGCACAGTCAAATGTTTGATTTTGTACCACGTCATCAAATTCAGTACACCTTAGCAATGATTTTGCCACGTCAGAGTCAACTAACAGTTGACCGGACGGAAAGTTAACGATTTGGCTATTATTTTGTTTTTAAAAAGGTTTGGCTATTATTTTGTTTAAAGTCAAAAGGTTTGGCTATTAAATCGTATTTACCCTTTCTTAGGGGTTGTTTGGAAGAGTGATTTGCATGAGTGATTAGCAATCTACTGTTCGGACCAAAATATTTGGTCCATGAGTTTTCAAATAGTCCATAAAAAAAAAAATAGTCCAATCTACTTTTCCAACCATAATACTGCATGACATAACTAAATTCTTTTTTTTATATATAAAGTAAGGGTAATAACTGGTATACTACAGGAGTCTAGTATATTCCAAGTGATCAGTCGTTAGATCTCTTTTTTTGAACTCCGGCCAATTTCAACGATCAATTAATATTTTTAATAAATTAAATTTCTGATTTGAGTTTAGAGAATCAGAGGCTAGGGTTAATCCATTAAAAATTCTAATATAATATCATATCTCAAATTCGATGCAATTTATGATCTAGATATAAAATATCTCGCTAGTAATACCAGGAGTATATTGTAATCCATCAGTACACCCGTATGACAATACACCCGTCTGACGCATAAAGTAAGTAAATTTTTTACCTCATAGCAATCTTGCCGAAAGAGATAAAGAAGGTAAAAGGAAAGCAGCCCAAAACAGTGAAGTGCCAAACTTGAACCCAAAGTTGAAAAATAAAAGCCCAATACCAAAAATGAAAAGGTTGGAAAACCTGACCAGACCTAGGAGAAAAATTAACAGAGGGAGTGTCACACTGTCACTGTTGCAGGTCTCGTAGTGAATATAACCCATTATTTATTTCAATTTCGAACCAACAAATACAATCATCAAATTTATCAAACCCTAAGAATTATATAATGGTGAAGTGAGAATCAAGGACAATTATCACGTCCTAGGAGGATAAAAGCTATCCACGTTTTTTTCCTAGTGATTTTTTAATTCATTTTGATTTATAACTCAAGAGGGATAAAGCTATCCACACTTACCAGAAGTCACAAACCCACAATGAATCATATGTTTATAACAGTACTTCTTCATTTGGGTAGATGAGATTTTGCATTTACTAACTAAGTAGTAAGTACCAAGTGGGGAATTTTACATATAAAGTAAATATATAAATTAGCCAATCAATCTAGTGAGCAAGGAAAGTGAAAACCCACCAAAGCCTTACCAATTCATTTGAATTTTTTTCTTCCTTGGTGAGCTATATAGCAATAATTTTGAGTGGTAGTTTCATAAAGATAACGCCTTTCCTTTTGGGTTGTTCATGGTTACAAGCAAGAGGCCCAAGACAAAGAAAAAAATTGATCCATGAATAGGGCTTATTTTCTTTTTATAAGTAGTTTCCCTTCCATCTTTGGGGTTCTATGTGTAAAGCTTCTTAGCATTCCTCTTCCTTTCTTCTTTTTTTGCCTTTGAGGGGAGCTAGAGAAACACTAATAAAAGAATGGAGAAGCTATGGAGGCCATTAGGTCACCTCTTCCTCACTTTCTTTCTTTACAACTTCGGAACGTTCATGGTGGCTCCAACCATAACCGACGTCACCATGTTTGCAGTCTGTCCTCACCAACCTGAGTGCTCGATCGCCATTTACCTCACTGGATTTCAACAAGCGGTATTTGTTTCTCTCTTCTTCCTCCTCCTCCTTCTCCTCGATGCTCCTAGATATAGAGTAAATGAGCTTCAAACATGTCGCAATACAAAAGCCATAGACTAAAGTGATCGTTTAGTGACGTGATAAGATAAGGTGTAGGTTTTTAGATGGAAGAGTCTAGCTTTCTGTACTATCTCTCGCTTTGTTTTCCTTTTCTTTTCTAGGAGACTTGTACGTTTAATAGGTGGAGACATTCTTGTGATTTTTGCTTCGTAGGAAAACCCGACAAGAAGCAACCTATAGCATTTGACAAATTTAGTTTTGTTGGTTTTAACGGTTAGCCTTTGTCTGTCATTTCATTAATTAAACTCCACAAAATTGCATAGTTCTTAGCTCTGACTCACCAGTCACCATGTAAATGTATGCAAAGTTAATACCTTGATCAGGCTCTCTGTTATTAGCCTACTCCTTTCTTGCTTTTCACGTTACTGTCAGCTTAAGAAAAAGCATATGTTAGATAAATCCAAGTAGTATACCATCCACGGTCATCATTAAGGCATACGGGATGTTGGCCTGGGTTAGAGCTCTGAATGGTTTTAGACGATTTTGGTCTCTCATTATCACTGCGTCAACTTTTAATACGAGTTTTTCTAGTTAGCATTTGAGGTGTCATTATGACATGCATGGACTCACGGCGGCTCAAACTTGACACTTGAGAGGTTATATTGCGACCTCGATACAGTCTGGACAGGGGCATCATGTGAATGTGATATAAACAGTTCAGAGGTTATATTGCGACCTCGGTTAGAAAGTCAAGTTTTAGGCTAAATCCCACTTTCTCACTTGTATAGATAACATACTTTCCCAAGGAGAACCCAATGTTATAATGGATGATATCATCATACTTTATTCTCATTTCTCTCGTTTATCTAACGAGGGTAGAGAAGCTTTTGCCAGGATTTTGCTCCTCTTACTACGTAGCCATCACCTTATATTTTGTCAAACCGTTACAACTTTATAGAAAATCTAGATATCTGGCAATTTTATATTTCAGTAGCATTTGCGGAGTTTAAAGTTGTTCCAATAATAACTAGTCGATATACACGAATCAAAAGTCGACCATCTAAAAGTCTCATATTCAAATGGATTTTTGTGTGTTCTTTTGGGTGCAGGTGATTGGGCTAGGGACTCTATTTATGATGCCATTGGTAGGGAATCTATCAGACAGATATGGGAGAAAAGCTTTGCTGACTCTTCCTATGAGCCTTTCCATTATCCCTTTGGGTAAGCAAACCCCCAAAACTTGACTAATCATCAATTTTCTTCTTATTCATGCCTTTCCTTTTTTGTTTCAGTTTGAAGTATGGAATCTCAAAAATGGATCTCATCAATGATCCATGCAAAACTAAAAAAAATTCTTCCTCTTTAGGTGGGACTTGAGAAATGGATGATAAGAGTTGGTTAGTCACTGTGACTTTGTTTGACCTTTAAAGAAAAGTGGGCATTATAACTTTTTTTACTACTAATTAAGTATTATAACTTTAGGTGGCGGTTCTTACTTCCTGGAGTGGACAATGGATAATTTAGCCGAAAATGCTTATTATAAATTCATAAGTGGTAGTTAAAATGAAATTGGTTGACCAACTAAGGAGAAAAAAAAACATACGTGTGAATTTAGCTTCCTTCAAGAAAATAAACCCCTAGCTGACGAACAAAGCTACCTTTGGACTCCAAAAGTGAGACATAATCACCCTATAACTTGCATTATGCCTATTACTCGTATTTTGGAGTAAATGAAGTGGATGAATCACGAATTTTGCTAAAATGCTTAAAGGTCCTCTATGAGTAGGGATGGCAATGGGTAGGGTCGGGTGCGGGTTTACCCTATACCAACTCCTAACCCGCTGGGTAGAGCCTTCTAAAATACCCAGCCAAATAACCACCGGGTATGAAAATTATATAACCATACCCTACCCACCGGGTAACCACGGGTATTCGGGTAACCATGGGTACGAATGTTAAACTATGAACTTATATACATATATGCACACACATATTGTTGTCCATTAAAAATTCTCAATACTTGTAACTGTTCTAGCTTCAACAATCCACACAAATAAAAATAGCAAACACATAATAATTGTTCTTGCTTCTACAATCCACACAAACATAATAATTGTCTACATCGACGAAGGAGATTAGAGAGGAGACACTAAATATATACAAGATACTTCTTACTTCTCCTTTAAGAGTTGGTGGCAATCTTGCATGAGGAGCTGGGCAAGGCTCGGAATGGAGGAGTTTTCTTTTGGTTGGGTGAAAACTTATACAAGTTTTTATAGAAGTGTATTATTTATTTATGGGAAAAGAAATGGTCAAGGGAATGAGGATTTAGGGGTTTTGGTGTTAATTGTAGAGGGCGGATAATTTTAGCAAAAAAAAAAAAAAAACTGTTATGGTTGTATTAGTTCACAAAGGTGTTTCATTTTATGTTTAAACCGATGCATGGGTGTATTTATATGTCTTGGCGTGAATGCATGCAAATATATGTTCTTCCTAGGATTTTGAGTAAATGAAAAGGCTCTAAGAACCGTGGGTTAGCAAAGAGGAGAAGCATTTCACGATGTGTGCATACATGTATAATTGTGGCCATGAATTAAGATGAAAGGGGATTTGTTTATGCTTAGAGAATTGAGAGTAGGTAGGATCAAGATCGATAATAGTAGCTAAACTCAATTTCTCAAGCTAAACTAAATTTTTCAAGGGAAATTGACCATTTGGTTAGCGGGGCGGGTATAACGGGGCGGGTATTATCGATTACCATACCCGTACCCTACCCTTTATTTTGAAACCGGGTATTACCCGTACCCGCCCCTTAACCCGTCAAAGCGGGTAATTACCCTCGTTGACCGGTTACGGTCGAGTAGGGTACCCATGGTTACGGGTTGGATTGACATCCCTATCTATGAGCACGTGCTCTCAGCTTCCCGCTAAAGTTGATTTGCGTGCAAATCATAAATTAATAAAACATGATTTTAGTGTCGTATGGATTGGACTTATTATCGTTCTCCTAGTAAGATTTCGTTTCTCATTAAGATGCGAAAAAATTTACTGAAGACCTCATCTTTTTTCACCGTTATCGTTTGGTTCGTTTCGCAGCCATATTGGCGTACAGCAGATCCAGGAACTTCTTCTACGCTTACTATGTGCTTAAGACTCTCACTTCCATGGTTTGTGAAGGAAGTGTTCAGTGCCTTGCTCTCGCCTACGTGGTAACTCCCCTTGCTCCCCACTTTTGGGCTTTTGCCCTACAATCGACTGGCTCAATCGTTGGGTACGTTAACATGCTTATTTGGGATTTCAGTTCTGAAAAACACGGGTCAGGGGTTAATTATAGGGTTGGTCACTGAGATTATAAAAAACGTTCAAATTTGGTCACTCGAAATATTTAAATCCATTGGTGGTACTTGAGTTTACTGAAATCGTTCACGTTTGGTCACTCTCCGTCCAACTCCGTTAACTTTTGCTGATGTGACAGTCAAACTCTCAAAGTTGACCGTTAACTTAGTGACGTGGCAACTAAAAAATTATTAAAAATAAAAAAATAAACTTTTATATTTTCCATCTCATTATTACATTCATTAAAAAATAAAAAAAAATAAAAAACCACCGCCGAGCCGAACATAGAAACCATCTCTCGCCACCAGATCACCACCACCGTTGGCGGCCGACCAGACTCGGAAGAAGGAGCTCAACGTAGACGCGTCCACGAGAAAAACTACCTTTTTGCTTCTGTCGCCACCGGCAGCACGACAACTCTCTTTCTCCTCTAGCCGCATACAGCTCACCCTCTCTCCGGTGTCCTTCTCGTCTTGGCAAAAACCAGAAACTTCATAATCTTAAAATAGCCTTGAAACTACTCAAAACACAACAAAAAAAAAAAAAATGGAAAGGCAGAGCTTACCCTAGCTGGTGTTTCTCCCTTGCCGCGCGTTTCACCCCTACGCCACCGCCGGTACAGTCCGTTGCCGTCTATCATTTTCCCCCAACCGATTCCAAAACTTAAAAAAAAGGGGAAAACAAAACATTAAACCCAAATATTAAAACAACCCCAAATCGGAATCAAACAAAAACAGAGCATACGAGCCCCAAATCGCGACTTACTGTCACAGGAGAGGCCGATCGAAGTTTTGCTTCCACGTTTTCTCTGGATTTCGCCTGATTCACATAAATAAAAGAACAATCAGAACCCAAAAGAAACAAAATCAACCCCCAAAACCGACATGCAACCCAAGAATACCTACTCCAACTCCGACCACCTTCGTCGCCGTCGTCATCATCTCCGGCATCGATACTCGCCGTCTTTCTCGCCACTGTCGTCGTCGTTCCTCTGTTCTTTCCTTCTTTCCACTGCCAGAGTGCCAGTACAGAGAAAAGGAGAAGGGAAATCAACAGAGGGGTGTCGCCTACTCGCCTTCCCGTTGACGAGTTCTTGCACAGAAGAGGGAAGAGAAGAGATCAAGAGAAGGAAAGGGCGCTGGCCAATGATGATCTCACTCCTGAGCATTACCAGTTCTTCCTCTACCAACTTCTTCGAGGCTTAAAATATATCCATACCGGTATTAATGTTCAATTAATACATACAGCTGATCGAATTTCTCGGACCTTCTTCTGTCAACCTAGCTAATTCATGTTTCTTTTTACCGTCTTGTAGCTAACGTATTTCACAGGGACCTAAAGCCCAAAAACATTCTTGCCAATGCTGATTGCAAGCTTAAAATATGTGATTTTGGCTTGGCTCGAGTGTCTTTCAATGATGCTCCATCAGCTATATTTTGGACGGTAATTAAGTTTTGGAAGAACTCGCCTGCTCGCCTTCCGCCGCGGGAGGGTTTCCCTGGGCTCACTAGGTAGGAGTGAAGTTGAATCGTTGGTTTTTTATTTTTATTTAATGAATGTAATAATGAGGTGAAAATATAAAAAATTATTTTTTTATTTTTAATAATTTTTTAGTTGCCACGACACTAAGTTAATGGTCAACTTTGAGAGTTTGACTGTCATATCAGCAAAAGTTAACGGATTTGGACGGAGAGTGACCAAACGTGAATGGTTTCAGTAAACTCAAGTACCACCAATGGATTTAAATATTTCCAGTGACCAAACTTGAACGTTTTTTTGTAATCTCAATGACCAACCATACAATTAACCCACGGGTATGTTATAAATTGCAAGTTATGAGGCCTTGCATAAATGGGCCGACAGCTGATAGTGAAGGCCCATTATCTCATAATAATTGTGATCCATCCCACTTTCGTAAAGCCTATCCGTTTTTTTTTTCTTCTCACAACTCACATTGCTTCCCTCCAAAATTACCGTCGTCGTCGAAACTTTACAGTGGTTTCTACCAAAAGAAACGTTCTTACTTCTTAGTTCTTACTACTCAGGCGGACAATGTCCCGGTGCGAAGGCGGGCGGCGGCGTTCGGGATCCTCTCCGGGATCGGATCGGCAGCGTTCGTCTGCGGCACCTTCATCGCTCGGTTCCTCTCCACTGCTTCCACTTTCCAGGTGGCGACGGCCGTTGCGATCGCCGGAACGGTCTACATGAGGATTTTCCTTCCCGACGTAGCCGTCGAGGAAAGCCTCAAGACGCCGATTCTCTGCCGAGGAAAGGAGAAGATCGTAGCCGATTTCGCGAACGAGATCTCTCCGATTAAGAGCGAGCAGATATTCAAATCGAGGCCTTCCCTGCGAGACATGCTCACCATGCTGCAGAGCAGGTTCGCTTTCGAGCTTTTCATCCTGTTGTTTCCATTGTTCAAATAGATCGATTTGAACCCTGAAGTTTGCTTCCTCGACTTCGCAGTAAGATTTTCACGCAGGCGGCGGTTGTTGCATTCTTCCTCAGCCTTTCAGATGCCGGCTTTCAAGCCTCCGTAACGGTATATCTCCCGGGGGTTCTGTTCGCTGATTTCAACTCAATTTAACTGATTTCACTTGTTTTTGTGTTTTCAGTACTACCTGAAAGCCGAATTCCACTTCAATAAGGATCAGTTCGCAGATTTAATGGTGATTTCCGGGGTCGCTGGCACAGTTTCACAGGTACATAGATGACTTTTTTCAATTTTTTGAATTGCATGCCCACAAGGTGTTTGTTTATTTTACTCAATGAGCTTACTACTGGGAAGTGAAAATGCTTTGTTGCAGCTAATTGTGATGCCAATATTAACTCCATTCTTAGGAGAAGGGGTTCTGCTTTCAGTAGGGCTTTTCTTCTCTTGTGCCCATGTAAGCTTCATGTTCCGCCGCATTTTCATATCTCGTTTCTCACAGTCACAGCCGCCTCATTCACTAACCTTTGAGCTCTTAATCTTGATTGCAGATATTTCTCTACAGCGTTGCATGGTCTTTCTGGGTACCTCAATTTCTTTTCATAACTGATGTTTAGAATATGATGAATGCCTTTACAGATGGCTAACCTTTTGAATGATATACGTGAACAGGTCCCTTATGCTGCCTCTATGCTCTCCATTTTCTTCGTTTTCTCACAACCATGTGTAAGTTCGTCTCCTCAGTCCTCATCAAGCTCTCTATCCAGTTAGTTCTCCGTGCCCTTATTCCCTAACGAACTTCTTCTCGTCCTCTTTTAGATGCGGACCATTGTGTCAAAGCAAGTTGGTTCATGCGAGCAGGTAATTTCAGTTTACATAAAGAAATTATAGCTCAACAGAAACAGGGAATTTTGCTATGGGTGATTGATCTGGGTTTCCTCTTTCCTTTTTCAGGGAAAGGCTCAAGGATGCATATCAGGGATTTCTTCATTTGCAAATGTTGTTGCTCCCTTAGTTTTCTCTCCATTATCAGGTAATGCACCTCGGATTTACACCCTTCGTTACTTCACCTAGCTACAAAACTAACCAAATCCGATGTATCCTCACTTGGCAGCTTTGTTTCTCTCTGACAATGCACCATTCGATTTCCCCGGTTTCAGCATCATGTGCGTTGGATTTGCAATGGTAAGCGAGCTTATCAGGATGCACCACTGTCAATCCAACCAATATACCAACTTCTAAACTGGACCATCATTTTTGGTTTCACAGATGGTAGCGTTCGTTCAGAGTCTCATGATTAGGGTTCCTCCTCCCATTGCAGAAGAGAGAGTCGATAATCCGAACCACATTGATTCCTACGCATGACCTGTAGTTTCCCTTAGAAAATCGACGATAATCAGTTAGTTATTGGAAGCTCTAAGTTGCCATTTTCACATTCATTTTCTCTGTGTGTATATTTTTTGGGGAGTCACTGGAATAATCTCGGCCCTCCGACGAGAAAAACAGGGCGCCAACTGGAGGGTGAATGTTAGGCCATGTGGGGCAGTTTTGTGTTGTTTTTTGGGTTGACCTTATCTTCACTTCGAAAGGGGTTATATAGTGACTTGAATGTCCTCATTTTTCAGTACATTGATATACTTTTTTTCGTGTAATTTATGTTCCGAACTATTCAATGTGACATTTATGTCCCAACGTATGATAGTTGTGTTGTGTCATTTGTGTCCCAACAATTTCATTGATTGTCATAGTTAACGGTTGACCAAATGGTCAACCATGAAATGTTGACCGTTGGTTGCATGGTACATACATGGCAGCCACGTGTGCGCCACGTCATATTTTTATTTTAAAATTGATATTATTTTAAAAATTAACAATAATAAATTAATATTAACAAAACAAAATCCAGTATCGAATAAGCAGACAATCCACGCCCACCCAAGACCTAACTCCCGCTTCCGACCTGATCCGATTTACCCGACCTGTTTGACCAGACCCGCCCCTTAGGTGGGGCGGGGATGGGTATTCTCATCGACCCGATCTACCCTGATCCACCCCATTCTTGACCCGTTCGTGCCTAAATTACATGTAATCATAGTCAAATTACTTAGAAATTTTCTTATATTACATCATATTTTAGCTATTATAAATTTATGAATTAGTGAAAACTTTAATTTATCCAATAACTTAACTACATTTTATCATATTATGATTTGTTTTTTTTGGTCTTATAATGAAAATAACTAATATTTCTAATACTTTCAATAAAAATTACATGCCCATTGAGTCGATCTGCCTCGACCCGCGCCCCGTGATAAATTACCCGACCTGGACCCGACCTACCATGGGGCGGGTATGGGTATCGAGATACCCGCCCCGGACCTGCCTCATTGTCATTCCTACCGCCTCCCCATCAACCAAAGGTATCTAATCAACTCGAACCTCCAACGCGACATCTTGAGCTAGGGGTGTCCTTTGGTCAGTTCCGATTTAACTGAAACATGAATTCATGGTTATCAGTTAAACCGAGCCACCCTATAGAGCTGTCGGCCACTGACCGGGAGGGAAGCCACAGCTAACCGACCACCGACCGGTTGGTTAATCAATTTTGGTTTGGTTATCCATGGTAACAGAATGGTGACTGTCGGTTTGGTTTTGACAGGAAAACCGACCGGTAACCGATGGAAATTAGTCCCACTTTAGGTAACCAGTTCGTGGAGCGGGAGCGGGAGCGAGAGCGAGAGCGAGAACGGGAGCCCGAAAGCATCTATCGTAGAAGAATTCAATATTGAAAGCGCGAATAGAGCGTTATTATTATATTATTTTTAATTATTATAATATTTATAATACATTATTTTAACTCATTTATAATATAATTAGCCTAAAATAGTACATTGTACCCTACTCTACAAATAAGGTGAAATGTTTTAGTGTTAATTTCACTAATAAATAACTCTAATACTTTGGTAGACTATAATAAATATCTATTATCTTTTGTTTTAAAAAAATCATTTATTATATTTTATTGTTATTTAATTTTTTCACTATTATTTTTTCTTTTTCTTTTCACTTTCACTTATCCCTTCTCTGTCGTTGTCATTACCAACTGTCAACCCACCACAATTCACAAACTTCCCATCTCTCTATCCAACCTCATATCTGTTCCTTAGCCAGACAGTTCTACAACCAGGTCCTCGAATTTTCCAGTCTCCTTCCCCCCCCCCCCCCCCCCCCCCCCCCGCAGCTCCCTACTCCCAAATTTTTCAGCCACCGCTTGGGTCCCCCCTCCAGAAGACTTTTTGAAGATCAACGTCGACGCAGCGGTTAGTGCCTCCTCGTGTTCGACTTGGCTTGTTATCCGAGGCTCAGACGGGCATGTGAGGTTGGCGGTTGGGTTGCAGCATAAAGGAATAGACAACCCTTATCTGGCAGAGCTTCTAGCTTTCAAGGATGCTATCTCCTTTGTAGCCTCAAGATCCTTGTCCCACGTGATAGTCGAAGGCGACTCCGAAGTGGTTGTCAACCAAGTCCGTCAAGGCATCTCAGAAGATTCGTTGGTGGTCCGGTGTTACGAGAGTGTCTCCAAATCCTTAGCTCTTTGTCTGTTTGTATAGAGTTTAGGGCGGTACCTAGATCCGCCAACAGTGCTGCCTATAGAGTGGCGCGTAAAGCACTGGTTTTGACTCTTGTAGAGCTAGAATCTTTTGATTTTTTGGGGGTAGCCTCAGTAGAGTCTTTAAGGGGTCCTGGGTAGAATTGTAAGGTTAACTATTTTATCTCATTGATATCACTCAGAAATAAAAAAAAAAATAATCCCATCTCTCTCTCTCTCTTCCTACACTTTCTCTTTCTCCTTCTTCTCCGTTGCTTAGCCAGAGCATCTAAAGCTCTGTTCTTCTCCTTTTGTTTTTGGTGATCAATTTCTCCATGCAACAGCCAAATTAATCTTTTCTCTTCCCAAAGATCTCTTAAGCGATGAACTCATAATCTAGAAACAGCACTGTGACAACACTAGTTTGCAGGGGAGAAAGAATTCGTTGGCGACCGTCGATTCGGCACAAGAAGGCGATTAAGCGACCACCTGAGCTAGGATGAGAAGTCTTTCTCTTGCTTTCTAATTAACTCAGTTCATCGACAACAGTTTGCAGAAGGAAAGAGAAAGGATTGCATCGATGATGGTTGATTTGACGATGAAAGGCGCTAGAATGACCAGTTGAACGAAGACTTTCTCTTTATCTCTAATTAAACCCATTTCGTGAAGAGATACGCAAATTTCCATATATAATTCGCGCTCCAGTGAATGTTAATTCATGAATTATCAACGCTTTGTAATTAAAACGCATTTTAACGCTACAATCCGGGAGCGACGAGGGTCAACCCACGAATTGGGTGACCTAAGTCCCACCTGCATGAACAAAACAGTAAAATCGCATAAAATTAAAGGCTCAACCCTACATTTCTACATCTAAATCACCCAAAGTAAAGTTTCAATCCCTTTTGCATCGAAAATACATCTAAAACACCAAATTAATGTCTCAAATTCATTAATTAAACAACATAAAGTCATAAACTCCACAATTCACATATCACAATTCATAATTGATCCTCCAAATAGCAACAACAAATCAACAACACATCATCATCATTCATCACTTATCAACAGCGGAAGAAGAACCAATATCTACATAACCATGTTCTTTCAATCGGCCCAAGAAATCATGACCAAAATCGTTATATCCATCTTTATCATACTCTTTCTCCGACACTTCTTCTTCACCCTCCTGCTCATTTTCCACTGGAATGTTGAGACTTGCATCTTCATTGGCAACATTGCCAGTATCACTTGCACTTTCCATTATAAACTGGAAAGTGGCATTCACTGAGTAAGAAAAAATAAAATAAAGTGTTAGTAGGACATTCATACATTGAATTAGGTGGAAAGAATAGTGAAAACTTGAACAATTGGAGTGTTTTAGAATTCACCACTTTCCAAATCCAAATTCTCTTCATCATCTTCCTTCTCGTCAATCTCTCTGTATCCGGTAGTTGGATACCTTATCCAATCCTTAGCACAAATCAATGCCTTCACCATTGTATCGCTCAAAGAGGACTTGAATGGAATGAGAATCCGGCCGCCACAGCTGAATGTTGCCTTTGAGGCAACATAAGAGATGGGAACAACTAGGATATCCTTAGCCATCTAAGCAAGAATCAGATATATTCTAGGGCGTCGAGACCACCAACCCAAGATGGAAAACTTGGCATCATCACTCTCCTCATTGATGCCATCAATTTGACATTTCAAATAGATGTCAAGCTCAGCATAGTTACTTCATGTTTCCTGCAAAAGTGCTTTCTTTTTCCTCTTCCTGAGTCTCTCCTCAAGTTTCTTAATCCTATCACCAACAACTTCAGCATAAATACCACCAACAATGCTCTCATAAGTGGTAGGCTCAGATGCAGAGGATGATGCTTTTGATCCATACTTCCCCTTATAAACCTCAAACATCTGGCGCATCTCCCTTTTAATGGAACTTTCAATTTCTCCTCCCTTCACACCCCCATAAATCATTTCCAAAACCTAGGAAACCAGATCAAGCACACATGCTATATAAATTAACACGTGCTAAAACTTTGTCTCTTGGTAATTTGAACACGTGCTAAAGACTTGTGTTGATGAGAGGAATTACTTGATTATTTGCATTTTTGTAGTGATTACCTTTGTTTGATTGGATCTTGTGTGTGATCATCTTGTTTACTTACAATCTCAGAAGTAATTTTAATCCAATAGCAGTTTACTCAAACGGCTACTTGAACACATAATTTGACGAAATTTGTGGAGATTTGTTGATTATCATGTGTGTCTATTTTTTGTACATCTGGATGACTACGTATTGTGCAGGATTTACAAGAAGGTCGACAATGACAGCCTGAGGAGAGCTCCTCAATAGAGGGAATTAGACTTGGGAGGCGACTTCTCACCCGACCATGTTGCTCATTTTGATCACGACGGACCTAAGGATGCTACGATCACTGGTCAGACCGTCCATGATCCCACACTGGCGGTAGACAATCTTCATGGTGGAGAGGAGGGGAATAATTTGTCGATGGTAACAACTCAGACACAGATGGAGATTCATATTGGTCACTTCGGAAGAATCCATTATCCTGCACAACAAACCTTTGTTTACGATGAATTGAGCCTAATTGAAGACTTATGGGGATCGTTGCATGGACAGTTCAGCTATGATCATATTCACGATGATCATGTCATCGGCGTCGTCGATCGCCACTTCACTAGCTATCCACAACATCACCATGGTGCTAGCAGTTCTCTTGCAACATGGGACAGCTCTTGCTCCCAGCCTAACCCTTGAAGCTTGTGATACCAAGCTAAGATCATCTACCTACATGTAAAAACTAAGGAAAACTCTCAGATTTTTTAGATTGATCTAGATTCTTAGACATGTTGTTATTTGGTTTTAACATATCAATTCAGTTCTGTTTGAATAATGTCGGTTGTAAAGTCTCGTATTTAGGAGCACAAACTAGTTCTCTCATTTTTTATGCACAAATGGGGAAAAAAGACGGTTTCTTCTGTAGGTTTTCTACAACCACAACTATAGTTTTGGAGTGGTAATGGTACTGCGTTACCAACATCTTTGAAAGGTGATCTCTTGAGCCCACCACCAATGCCTGCTGAGATCAACTTCCTTCTCTCTTCCCTCAACGCGTCCTTCATCCTGAAT